ATTTGTTTTTTTGCGTGATAAAATCAAAATATGATCAACGAAAATCATTACCAATTATAAGGATGTCCATTATGCTTTATTAATATGATCCGGATCTTTCCACAACTGCAAATTCTTAACTTATTATTTTTTTTTGTTTTTTCCAAGATGCCGCCTAATAAAAGCCAAAATGGAAAAAGAAGAAAAGAAATGTATCAAAATGAAGTAGTTAGAGAGTAAGCGTTTATTAAAAGAATGGTGATTGTTGCAGTCATTGCAACTCATCGTCACTCTAGTTTCTTTTAAAAAAGAAGACTCGGAGAGTCGCAACAAAGAAAACATAAACGACAAAGTATTTATTTCGATAGTAATTAATTCTATATATAGAAAAAAATTTTTTTTCTAATACGATTATTTTCTTTAAGGACAAATTAAAAAAGAAATTGTCGAAGTTGGAAAAAAGATTACAAGACTTAGAAAAAAAAAGTATTGGTAAAGATCTTATGTTACAAATGTTGGGTTATACTGACAAATACACATGAATTTATTTTCTATTCACTCCATTATGTTTATTTGTTTACCCATTTGGATGATATTTACTAATCTGTCTTTTTCTTTGTTCAATCACCGATCTGCCTACTATATCATTACTTTATAATCAAGAAATAGGTAAGATCAGTTTTCATCATTTGTTGCATTCCTTCATCATGCTTCTTCATTTTCTTTCTTTTACGATTTAATATTTTTTTTTAAATTTTGGCTAATGTGCCCATCCACTTATCTGTTATGGCTTTCCCCTTCAACCCTTCAACATTCATTTCAATCGATCCATTCATATCTTTCAAACGATTGCCAATTCTTCCCTTGAATCCCCTTCCTTTATATTATAGAAATGCTCCGCGATATCAATAACACTGTAAATTCAATAAGGAGGAGACAAGAAAAAGATGAAGTTTTTACTATTTCTGCCATGAATTCTGTAAAAACGCAAAAGTTAATGGCAGTGTATGATATCGCAACAGCAGTGGAGGATATAACATTCGATGAAATTTCACCACTCCTGGAAAGTTTTTGTGGCGTAGTGATCATACGGAAGAATGGCACTCTAAGTAGCATAGTGGACACTGTTGCAGATCACAAAAAAATGATCAACATAACATATGTTATGGTGAAAGTTCTTGCAAAAG